TCGTTTTACACGTTTGTTGCCCTCCTCTCTTTTCTCGTTTTCCCTCCTCTACCCTCCACGTGCAGAGGACACGTTAGTGTTTTTCTTGGAGAAAAGTCCCCTGAGTGCTCTCTGGTCGTGTCAGGCCATGGGGGTACCAGGGCCCAGTGCAGGGTTTGGCGGGGCAGGAGAGAGGTTTGACCCCAACCAGAATGCCCCGGGGAGCGCTGGGCCCCGAGGAAAGAGGAGATGGTTCCCCGCGAAGCCACAGGGTGAGAGGGTGTAGGTCCCGCCGGAGGCTGTGCAGCCGTGGACTCTCAGGGGGTCGGGTGCAAAGATGCGACGGGCAGTTGGGATAGGGCACAGCGTGGCCTTACCCCGGCCAGGGGCCAGCGGGAGGAGAGGACCCGAGGGGGAGGGGACCAGGGTGGCGGGAGGTGAAGAGCAGGACGTGGGGTCCGGGTTGGACCCCGGCACGGCCGCTTGCAAAGGGGGCTGGGCGCCGAGGCTCCCGGAGAGCGCCCGGCAGACCTGCTGTCTGGGCGGTGCCTCGCCCTCGCCGATGGCTGAGTGTCCACGTGGCACAGCTTTCCCGTGACACTTGGCTCTGTTTTCTCCCCACAGACTGGCTTCTTCCTCACAAGGATCTGTGTCTGCTCTGAAGATATGCAAACTGGCTTCGTCCCCGTCCGCCACGGCCAAGCGGATCACCAGGGGCACCTTGGCCTCGGGCGCCAGTGGGAGAAGGTAACTCTGGGGTCCAGGTCAGCCGCAGGGAGTTCGGCTGCCCTTGTGGGGAGGGGAGAGAAACCACAAAGGCTCTGTGCCCTCCGGGGCCCTGTGCCCTCCTGCATTGTGGGGACGAGGCTGCGGGGGGATGGCAGGTGGCACCCTTTCTGCAGTCGCCTGATTTGAAAACGGAGCTGAGTTGTATGCGCTAAGGCACAGCCGATGGTCATTATTCCGAGGAGGCCGGGGTGGTTCACGGAGCCGTGGGATCAAATACCCGAGTTAAAGCTGGCGCTTCTCACCCTTTGCTTAGAGTTCACTTATTTCCTGCCTCGGGACCCATAGCACCCGAGCTCGCATCCAATAGCACCTGATCTCGCCTCCTATAGCAGCCCGATCTCAGGACCAACAGCACCCCGATCTCAGGACCAACAGCACCGCGATCTGCCTCTCTCCTGCACGCCCCCTAATGGTCACCCCCCAGGCTGTGCTGTGTGTCTGGCCTCGAGCCGGCAGCATGGCTGTCTTGTTCCCGTGTCCCTCCAGCTTCTCCGTGAACTCGCGGCTGGCCAGCTCCCTGGGGAACCTGAGCGCGGCCGCGGAGGACCCCGACAGCAGGAAGACCCCGGCCTGCAAGGT